CCACAGAGCTCATCCTCAACAATTTTCCTCCTTGCGGTCCCACAAATTTCCACATAGCACACAATTTGAGGTGCTGTACTTGCTAGCACGGGTTCCTTTCTTCCCTCTTTTCGAATGCATTTATTATGGTGCATGAACTCGCGAATGCATTATCGTCCGTGTTGGGGTCCGAGATCAGTAAATGTTCAGCTGCAGTGGTGGAGGTAATGGTGTGGTGGTCTCTTTTGCTGTGTATAACAGGTGACGGCTCCGAGGACGCCAGAACATATTAGAGAGTGTTAGTTCGAAAATTGTGGATTAGCAGTGCGCAATGTGGTGCGATATTTGAAGAAATTGAGAGGGCGAGTGTCGAATGAGTGAGCAATGTAATCAAGCAAGCATTATGGACAATCTGCAATTCTACCAACGAATATTGCCACTCGTTGCTCAGTCTGATGCAATATTACCCCAATTCTAGATTGGTCGTCCCATGTACTGTAATTCCACAAGCAGGGAAAAACAGGAGAGCGAGTCGACTGTCCCGAAGAGCAGCGGAAATCAAGGCAGTAGACAATTTGCCTAACTTATAACTAATATTGCTTCCTGCTTCCGAGTGATGGTCTCAACTAAACAGAGTTTCGTCTACGGTTGTAAAATCCAAAAGACTTATTGACAAACGAGAAGATTGAGTTATCATGCCATTGCGAAAGACATCCCTCTGAACTTAGAGGTGACAACAGAACCGGTAGCTGATTCTACATGGAATGGATGCTAAATGTCATGCTTCTACAGCAAACGAATTAATAACTCTTATGATACTCCGCCTAACTTCATACTGAATAGCATTTAGTAAAATGAGTGCTTAATCATTGTACGAAGCGCATAATGAGGACCGAGATTCAGAAGGTGAAATGAGTGAGGGTCATAACGCGATGTGTTTTAATGTGCAAAGATCTGCAAATAAAAAGAAAAAAATTTGGCTATATTTGTGCAAACCTTTGCCCCACATTTAAGCACTGCTCACCTGGAAGCCGTGCTTTCACATCTTCTTTGAATTTATGAGGGCTCGGTAATGTTGCAAGCAACTATTTGTTCTCCCCACTGAAATAATTAGAGTGTAGTTAGGAGGGCTTGATCAACTCTAGTTAAAGCCACTAGTTAATGCCACAAAAGGTAGTGGAAGGAAGATTACCTGTGTGAATTCAATTTCGACGATGTTGAAGACGTCTGCAATCGCGGGAGGATATTCCGACACCTTTCACAAGCACATTGGAATGAGTCTTAATGCAAATTAATTTACCGACAAATACAAAGAAACGGTTTTGCAATTTAAGGCCGACTCAGGTGAGCATCAATTAGTTGTCGGACAATGTAGGCTATCTTGAAGCGCAAAGTCATGAAAGGTGCGAAGACTGCTGCGAATAGGATGGATATTTAACTCACAGCATTATGAATGCTCTTTTGTCTCCTCGACTTAGATTAACACGCATGAGAGCAAGATATCGCCCAATGGGAAAGCGTCTGTTTAGGAGAGCACAAGTTCCATAAAGAAAGGGGCTTTGTTTCTTTACTTCGTGAACGGCCAGTTTCACACAAACCTCGAGGCACAAAGAGGATGCGAAGTCTGATTTCCTGCAAGCCTTGCTAACCTCCAAGCATTCCCGTACTAATGCAATATAAAACACCCTTCTGTGCTCAATCTCCTCTGTCTAAGCCGAGGATAGAAGTGAGGACCATTGAGAGACGATTAAAAGACTGACTCTTGTCATAGCAACAGTAAAAAATACAAATACAAGGCTATCCTACTGATCTGTTCGAGTCCAGGCGTTAATGCCATGAACGTTTTACCATTTGACTGGGGTTTGCAGGAATGAGTCTGGCCCGTTTGGAAGCAAACAGGGTGGTGTGAATGAAGTGTCACCATATTTGTGGGTCCAACGTGGAGGACGTAGATACGACATCCTGTTCACTTTGAGGCCACATTGTACCAAGAAGGTTTAGAAATTCCTAAGAGCCCAGTGCTGCCAGGCACATAGGTGCAGAAATTAAATCAAACTATTTACGAATATGCAGCCGTGCGGGCCAAAATGAGGTGCTCAATTCTTCCTTCGCAGGCCATGTGTAGATTTCGTCACATCCTGGAAGAGGAATTGCAGTAACAGAGAGTTGTGAATTAATTCCGCAGTATCAGTTTCATTGTCAAGAGCACACAGAGCCACGCATCAGAAGTGGAATGTTAATTTTCGCCATTGTTGCTATGCAACCAAATGGACGTTTCTCGTTGGTCGCTTTCAATCCATGGGAACGGAGGTGGGTTGCTGCGCATTGCTGCCGAATATGAAGACCTGCCAAGCACATGGAAGTATGGCTCTAAATCCAACTACTCCTGTTTTCGCCTGGTGAGGAGTCAATGTACATCTTCGAGTGTTGGCTGGAAACAGAGGCTTGGCCATGCTACTTGAGGTGGCTGTCGCTAATCATGCTGTTGATTTGAGCAGTTGTGTGAAAGAAGAAAAATGCAGTTACCTGGTTGTGTGGAGTTGGGGAAAGTGCTTTAATGCTGTGATAAGACTGAAGTTGGAAACTTTATCCATAAGTAGGCGTTAAAGTTTTCCGAAGGCCACAAGTCCCAGTCATCATGCAATAAGACACGTTGGTCCCAATGTGACAAATCTAGATGACAAATGCACCAATTGAAATGTCTATCATACTAGCCTTGTTTGCAAAAGCAGCATGCAGCGTTTGCATTATTCTTCTATTCCACCTCCGGTTTCGCACAGCTGAGGCAAGAAACTTTGCTTGAGAATGACATCCTCCACCATGTACACTGGGGAGAGTGTGCATCTGCATGCAGCAAGTGATCCGGATGGACCGGAAATATTCTCTTCCTGAAGAAGAGACTGCGCCCACACGAAAGGCATCAGTTTAATCTGCCCGTGTGGCGAAGGTAAGGTCAATTCGAATCTGCGCCCAAATGGGTAAAAGCCGGTCACATCAGCTAGAATATATTGGATATTCCAGGAATTCGTAGCTAAGTAAAACACATGCACTCAGGAAGTGTTTCCACACTATGATATACATATATATATATTCCCTAGGCAAACACTTGCTCCGTGCATATACGTAGTCGTGTTTGCTAGCAGTATTTGTGCTGCTGGCCGACGTGTGTGCAGGTGAGCACAGACCTACTGAGTGTATGTACACGCCCTGTGGTGGGATGGTAAAGGACACCGTTAAATGAGCCACAGTCTTGGCTGGGGATACGTGGATGCCCAGAGATGGCTCCTGAGTTTGCATTTCATATACGATCCCTTAGCATTCTTACGAGTTGTTTCACTTCCCCGTCGCTCTTACTTGATTCATAGTAAGCAGATTGTTGTTTCCAGTGTGTTGGTAACCAAGGCCATAAAAGTACATTTTAGAGCATTTTGCAAACCGCTTTCACGAAGTTGAAGAAGAAGAAGAAGAAGGCCTTTTTGCAATTGCAGACGTGCCTATCGGCGTCTCCACCACAGCGTTCATGAATGCACAATTTGCTTTGTAGGTCAATGACATACCGTTTCGTAGGCTACCGTTAACCTGAAATCGACATACAGACAAACGATGCGTGGGTTGTGAATGCAACCTGCTTCTGACTCAAAGATTTGGCTCTGACCCTGGCCCATTGTGTTGGCATCTTCCCTTTTTTGTGGAAAGCTTTGCACTGGCAATCGGTAAGTTACCCACCTTCCAATGCTCTACCATGGTCAGCTCACTTATGGAACCATTCATCTTATGAGCGTGTTTACTTAATGAACAAAATTAGCGTGCTCCCAGCCGAAAATTGACAGTGGCGACTTAACTGCTTCTTCTCGATTCTCATCATACTACATCACTTCACACGAACTTTTCATGACCATGTGAGCTCAGGCATTGCGTATGCTTAATGAGCTACACATCCTATGTTTCTACTGATAGGAAAAGAGTAGGTGATGCATGCATGAATGTGTACGATGACATGCAGCCGGAGACGCTTCTTAATTAAAGACAAAATGTCTCTGGTGCAGTAATGTAGAAATGCTCCGATTATCTTGCAGATGGCAACCGATCATCCTAATCTAAGCGAAAATGCTACTGGCTATCCAATCGAAGAGACAAGTGTTTGGAAGGCTTGAGGAAGAAAGGAATTCAACCGTCAAGGAGCCCTCTCAAGAATAAGCCTTTTGCTTCAAAAGCGTTTAAAGAATTGCGCACAAAGCACCGGTGGCCTTGGTCTACTGCTGGAGACCGCAGTTTCTGTTAAGTGTGTACTAATTGCAGTAGCTTCAAAAGGCTTCACCTGACAGTGTTTGTCTCACTCCAATCCTGGTGTATAGTAATGCTGGTGAAAGGGGAGGCATTGGCATCATCGGTTATGTATCACCCAATAAAGTGTGAAAGCGATATATTCTGATCATGGCACCCTACTACACAAACTAGCCCACGTAGAACACATGAAGATGCGATGCGCTAAGACGATTGATGCTGCAAATCTTCAATCACCAAGCCTATCAAAAGGGG